GGGGGGGGGGCGGCTGTGTGTGCCTATAGCTTCCCGCCACTGGTCTGAGTGCGCCGCTCGCCGTAAGCCCCGGTACAAAAGGACAGAGGTCCCACATGCTTTTTACGAATGGCTGCTCAGCACTGTTTAAAAATCCATTCACCGTCTCCTGGCGCCTGACTCAAATCGCCCAGAAGCCAACGGTGCACAGCGGGAATGGGATGCTCACTCTTTAACAAAGCCCCAGGGAGCCTTGAATACGGGCATGCATGGAATCCCTGGTATGTTCATATTTCATATGCTGTACGATCTCCATCCCTGCATGAACTCCACTATCAGGCTGTGATTGGTGTGGGAATGAGGGGATTTACATCTCCCCATTCTGTCAGCATAAGTTGTTCTGAATGACAAGTATGCCCGCATGTATGATATCAGTAATGAGGCAGTACAGTACCTTCCCTGCATCCACCAGCTTCTTGACCTCATCCAGGGCAGGTCCATCTGGCGCATAAAATCCCCACCGATAGAAGACTCCACTTGATATTATGTTCTAAGAGGCAACAATAAGAGGTCAGGCAGGTACGCACCTCACTGGGTGGAAAAGAACACAGAGTGGTTTTATCTGGGAATGAAAATATTGAGTCTACAAACAAAAAGGTCCCAAGACGAAACAAAGGCCAAAATAGACGTATTGTATCTACATCCACATTGACTCGTATAACATACCAAGGGTGAGAAATAACTGCATGGATTACATGGAAGAAAAAAAATCTATACAAATTTGCTGATAGACCAGTGACCGATATGTACGGTAGCTACTCAAAAATGAGTCTTCCTACGTACAATTTCACATATAATGATTCCTCTACAGATATGTTTTACGGTAACTGTTCTGTTATTCCGGGACATGTCATCCATCCACTGAAAAGAGGTATTTTGTTTTGTTAATTTAATGATGTTACAAGGAAAAACACACTCAATAAAAGGTGCACCAGGAAGCATCTCAAACAAAATAAGAAAAGAAAGAAAGACATGTACTAATTCTAATATTGAACACTTGATATTTGATCAGAATATATTATGCGGCATGACTTTGCCACACCTTTTTTGGAGAGAGAAAAAAAAGAAAAAAAGATTCGGTAAAATAAATCAGTGCTGACAAGAAGTTGAACACTAGAGGGCTCAGTTGTGCTGTGATCTCCCAGATGAAAAGGACGTGCTGTCCAGAGCTGGGCAACGAGGGTGTGACTGATGTGGCTGAGCCTGGCCAAACGGACCAGCTGGCTGCGACCGTTGACAAAGGGGCCCAGAGGCTTGGCAAGAAACACACAAACACTGGTATTTGCTGGGGGGGGGATAGCCAGCTACAATCTGCACAAACACCCAAATAGTGCTGGTTCAGCAGCAAACACATGCATGCACACACATCGCATCTACAACGCCCACACTCACAGTCCCATCCAGAGACAACTCCAACACTGCCAGCCGTGCTGTCACCAATGCCCAGAACGACTTGACACAGCAGCTCCACCCTGTCCTGGCCCTCTTCACCCACTTCCCTCATTACACATGCACTCCACTAACAGAGCAGCTGGAGGGATAGGACCTACATGCAATAACACGAGGCTTACACCCATGCAGGGACTCAAACTCTTAATGCGGAAACTCCCTTTTCACCTGTCATATTAATTAAACCCTGCAGGGTGCATTTCTACAGCTCAAGCATGAACCTTTGCAAAGAAGCTAAGTCAAGTTATAACATGATTGTTCCTTCCCCGTTTCAACTGATCTTCGATTTATCTGATCAACTGAATAGACATAAAATGTAAAAGCTCTGGCTGGAACAGGTGTACACCCATTACACAATGTTGTCTTTCCATACCACTGATGATTATGTATTCCATTCCAGTTTGAAGAGCACCTGTGGTCCACACCCATGCTGCCAATGGCGTCATGACAAGTACTAAACTGGAAGTGTTTCGTAAAAAATAAACAACATGACGGTAGAAGTTGTCTGCGGGGCGAATGGATGCGCATGTCAGACCATGAACAGCAGTATAATCAACATCAGCTCTGTTTTAATCCCCGTTTGTTCTGCTCATTTCACCTGTATGGCCTTGCTCTGCAGGGAGAATCCAGCTTGAAACATCCCGTCCAGTAGGCCCAGGGAATCGGTGTTGAGGAGTAAAGGTGTTACCAGTGTGACGTACTTTGCCCCAGACCAGGGCTTCAGCAGGCCCATCGCCCACTGCTCTGTTTCCCCACCCACGTTATCCAAAATCACGTCAAACCTGACGGTACAAACACAAGAATGTCAAACTTCGGGCGACCCTGGTGGAGAAAGGTTTCAAACACAGAAAACACACGAGGACTTCATCGCAGGTTCGTGGTTCTAAGAGCGTCGCATGTTTCATCATCGTGGGTCAGTGTCCTCTTTTACTGCTGGAGCCCTGATTTAAAGTGTCGAGCAAAAGCCAGGCTTTACCAATTTAGTTTCAGGGAGGGGAAGAGGGGGGCGAGTCCACATCCACCGAGGCCTTGAGCCCTGGTTTCCATGGAAACTACAAAGCCAGTTAGTGAGCTGTTGCGCCATAATGACAGGAAGATGTTTACCACATTTAAGGGGCGTTTAAAAAGGGGGGGGGGGGAAGTGCACACAATGTTCTTTTCATTAGCACCTTTACTGAACTGGCACTGCCTATAATGGTTTACTTCAGTAGTAAACAGGGAGCTTTAACTTGGAGCTAGTGAAGACGTCGCCACATAATGTGCTACGGGATTTCATATTCTGGTTACATAAAAAATAAATAAAACACTTTTCACAGCAACACATACCTTTCCATCATTTCTAGCTGTTCAAGTGAATCTCCTGCTGTGTAGTCCACCACCTCATCAGCCCCCAGCCCTCTAACGAGGCCTTCGGCATTCTGTGAGCAGGTGACGGTTACGTGGGCACCCCAGGCCTTCAATAACTGGCAACACACAGAGGAAGAAAACAGAAATATACACACACAGACACAGCGAGTGGCCTTCCACTCATACAGAGTTTAAAGGAGTCACAGCATGCATGAGGAATACACGCTGCCTTACCTGAATAGAAAACGTGCCAACGCCTCCCGACCCTCCAGTGATCAAAACTCTAGGAGGAAAGAAAATAAAAAGCAGCAACCAGAGGGTCATTCAATTACTCTGTGACTTATTTAAGCAAACTTCAAGCAGTGGAAGAGCGGAGGTAAAAGGGGATTTGCAGGATTGGAAGCTATTATATCCGACGGGGAGTGAAAGTTCCATTACATTACACACCAGGTTAGATTTTTCACAGTCTGTGGGTTAAAGGCAGCACCTAAAACTCTTTTGATGCCAATTAGAATGAAACAGAAGACCAGCCACCACCACTGAAACGAAGGTGACGAAAGATGTGTCTTGTCAAAAGTATAGCTCTGCATGACTGGACTGATTTAACAGACAAAGAGCACATTTAGAAACTCCAAGACCTTAAAGAACTCATTCAATGTTCGATGGCCTTTTTGTTATAGTTCTCAGAGACTTCTTCTTTTCCCTGATACTGTGATTCACACGTCTTATGTTCTAACTTCTGTGTATAAAGGGCGATGGGGTAGAGATGTTCAATACAAGGTGACAGTATCCAGGATCAGGCAGGTGCTTGCCTTTTATTTGAAGAGCTGTCTCTGCAAAGACCGCCTGCGTTGACGAGTGCAGACAGAGCCGTGTTGGCTACATAGGGGATTGATGCCGCCTCGGTGTGACTCAATGATTTTGGCTTATGGGAAACCTGCAAAAACAGCCAAGAGTTAGAAACCCTTTTTTTTTTTTTTTTTTTTCAATTATCAATTTACAAGCTCAGTCTAGTCATCAGATCGACTGTGAAGGCAGCCAGCTATGCATTGCTGAATAAGATAAAATAAGTCATTTGTGTCTCTCTATAATTGGTGCCACAGTGGCTCCTGCAACCAAAACCATCTAAATCCTGATTACCCCTTACACTGCAGGATGACATAACCGGGTGCACTTCTTCCAGACTTCCGTTCCAACATATTTTACTATTCATACAAGAGCTCTTCATCGACTCTTTCCATTTGTTTGACAACATACTGACAGGAAAGTCGATTTAATCGGTGACTTGATGATGAAAATCAAAAGCTCCTGACTCTGCTAGCTCTGTGGCTCACCTCATACTCTGTTAGAGTCACAAACTCTGCCAGACTCCCTTGTTTCCATGGGGGAACAGCAGCCCACACCTGGAGCAGAAATGTGACATTTAACAAGCTGGACACGACTCAATTCAACCACCTACTCTTGTTTTTTTTTTTTTAACCTGATTCATCGGCTGTTAAGCTCTTAGTCAGCAGATCTCCTCTCACCATGCGTTTTCCAAAGATTACTAGAATACTGTATGTGGATTTTTGGAACAGTGTTTTATTCTATTATTCAATCACATTAAGTTGAATTTGCATAATCACATTTGTATCTGCGGGAAGACAGTAATGTGGAACTGTGGGAGGCAGCACAGTAGAGGTCTCGCATTATTATTCATGTGATGACCAAGCAAGAAAGAGTTTCATCTTTCCTCCAAGAAAATGTCTCTGGAGGCCTTGACTGTGAAGTTGCAGGTATTGAGGGTCGGGGATATAATGACAGTATAGATTTTTTTAAAGTCAACACCAAACATTTTTACTACAGTAGCCATTTATTTTGCAAATAATATCTTTGGGTGTGATAGATCAGTGGTACCTAACCTTTTGGGATTGTGACACCTTAAAAATATATATTATAATAATATATAATACAAACAAAACAATTTATGTTATATCACTTTTTTTTTTCCTATGCTGTTGATCATCCTGCCCCAGGACGTTGGGAACCACTGTGTTCAATGAGCCGGACAGTTTTATGGCAATTTGTTTTTTACGACTTTTGCTTCACGATGATGAAGAATTGATTTCTGGATAATTCAATTTGCCAGATGAACCACAACAAAATACATCAGTGTCTGGTTATCTTGTCAGTAAATGGTTTCATAATTGATTTTCATGATGATCTAGTTTATTCCAACATTGCTAAGTTATGCACCATCATGCGCTCCTCTCTCTGTAATATAACACGGTCAGTATTGGACTCATCATTTTCACTCCTGGTCTTAACCATCTTATCTGTTGGAGCAAAGCATGTGCATGCATGTGTTCCTATGGTCACATTATGTATTAAATAGAAACGCATGCATATCATAATTTAACACTGTAACCATCTTTCCACTGGTTTGTCTTGTCTGTGCGATAGCCATGTCCTTGTATTGTCATACTGTCTTCTATGTTATGCGTGTCCGTCAGGGAAAAACTATAATATAAACTAAATACATTTTAAAATATACAAGGCAAAATCAAATTATGAATACAGTTATTAAAGAGAGGTGTGCAGTGCAGCTCATACCTCATCTCCTGGAACAACGTGGGTAACCTCAGATCCACAGTCCACCACTACACCAGACACATCACGACCCAGAATCAGAGGAAACTCACTATCACTGTCCATCACAGACATTGGATCCCTTCTTAATTTAAGCAATTTAGCTCCATAACCACCTGGAAATGACAAAGCACGCAGGTATATTAAAAGAATAACAAATCCCCGATTATGTCATTGTTTTGTTCACAGTGCCAACACTTACCCCTCATAGATGTATCAAGAGGGTTGAGACTAGCCGCATGGACTTTAATCATCACCTCACTGGGAGAACTGACAGTGGGGACGGGGACTTCTTCTGTGTACTTCAAAACTCCATTAGTACTGTACTGATCAATGATCCAAGCTGACATACAGCCATGCAGTCTTGAAGGTGAACTGCCTATATGTCTCCTGGGGCGCACACTCCAGCATGCCCTGGCTAATGTTTTGGTCGAGTCTGCTACTCTCGCGTTGAGCAAACACAGTAACCTGGTCGATGCCATAGCTCTGACACAACCCATTAAATCGTCCTTCACCTGGGTGTGCCTATAAGTCCAGTTTTTGATGCAATAAGTATTTTGGAAGAGCACTTGTCACTAGGTTAGCTAGCTGGCTAGCTAGGTAGCTACTCAGCTAATATTAGCATGTCCACGTCGTCTGCGCTCAAAGCACATGCAAAAATAAACATAACGTTAACAGGTCAAATAAATAAGCGACGACGCCTTTGGGCACGTGAAGTGTATATTATCCAGTGTCACATTAGGCTGTTACAAAACCAGCAGATAGCACACCCCTCCACGGCTAGATGGCTACATAACAAGCTACCCTTTGAACTCGCAACGATAGCCAATCAGAATCCTGTAGCTAAATATTCTGGCCAATAGAGGAAGAGAATTACTCTAACGTGATTTATTATTATTATTATTACTTTACTTTATATTTTTCAACGTGTGATATAACATGTTACCATATAGAAATGCAACTAAATAAATTGAAGTACAAGCATTTTTATCATATCACTTCAAATTAAAATTAATTAAAACTGTATTAGATCAAATGTCGAATACAATGTATGAGACCCTATGTAAACTAAAAGTGCATACTTTTTTATGTTTTGACGGTTTTTCTTGTATGTAAACCCTATACTTTGTGTTTGTAAAACCTAATTTATTTATTTATTTTTTATTGTATGTAGAAGAGACCTCTGGTGCAATGGTGTATTGATTTTATTTAATAATTGCTTGTATTGTTTTGTGTTATAGTATTTTTTTATATAGCGATGTTAACAGTAAATAGCAATATCATATATTTAATATACAGTATACAATAATACAATAAGCAAACTAAAATAAACATGTTTACAATGAAATGTTGTAACAAACCAAAAACATAAACCAACCTAAACCCTAATAGATAAGAAATAATTTAATTGCACTACGCCATTAATTCTCAATCACAAAAACCCATTATGTAGCAATAATAATCTATTATCATAAAAATGCATGTGTACATGAAAAAATGATAAGCCAATATACTTGAAAGGTCCACTCAACAGTAAATTGACTACTGAGTGCTCCATCAGCTGGAGACAAATGGGTGGAATACATGCCAGTATAGCAAAGACTAATGGACGGAGCACAGATCAGCAAAGAAAAACTAAGGCAAATGGGGAAAAAAACATTATCTGTTTATGTCTGAGCAATACAAGGGGTTGCATTGGGGTTCACTAATGTTTACATGGTGCTTCACAATTATAAGATGGCATTAGCGTATTATGTCTAAAAGATTAATTTGGGGAATGTGGTCAAACATGGACCACAGACTTACACAGTTTATCTCTGTTGCGTTTTAATTCTTGAACTGACAGTTACTTCACTTTAATTAAGGTGGTTACCATTCAAATAAAAAGTGGGCTGAAGGGCAAAACTGCTGCCCCGTTGTTGACTATTACATATCACTATACAATAGCTACATGGCCTCCCATTAGGAGTTCTCATGAGGCATGAAAAACAAGTCAAAGAAGCAGCTCAGTTACCTCATGTTATCCTACAGGCTGGTGAAATATTTAAATAAAACAAATCACACTTGTCCCATGCGAATGACAATCTCAAGCAGAATTTATGTTTTCTTTTCCAGAGACAAAGAGAGAGAGAGGTGAGAAAAGGAAGAGAACGTGGGGCCTGTGGCTGTGTGATCATGATTCAGCATGAAACCAGGCAACAAACAGCGCTGTCATTATGATCAAAACTCCCAGGGGAAAGAGGGCACACTGAAAATTGGGTGCTTTGTCCATGCTGGTTCATTACCAGCATGGACTCTCTGCTCTGTTAAGCACTTTGTGATTTTCTGTCTGTGAAAAGCGCTCTATAAATAAATTGTATTATTATTATTATTATTACTATTATTATTATATTACAGTTGGTCTGTCTAATGAATTTTAATCCTGGCTGCTGCTACAAAACCCTCTATGTTACTGTGAGAGGTTGTCATTTTTCAGGCAGAAAATAATCACGATTGAAAATGTTTTGTTGACCAGCTTGCCAAGATTAAAATGGGTCAGACTATGAGAGTAGAATTGGTGTTTTTAGGAGGGGCATTCTTTCCCAGAAAACACCATGTATTGCTTTTCTAGGTCTCCTTTCTATCTTGGGACCTGTGGCCCAAATCACATGGCAGCTCTTATAAAATACAGCTTTGATCTAATTTAATTTAGTGGTCATGTAGACAGGCCAGTCAATATCTGACTAAGGAGACTTTATCTACCCCTCCGGTCACCTATCCGGTGCAAGGAATATATCAAATATAATAGCAAGGTAGTTCTTTTGCATTCCCATCTTTCTCACCTGTGGTTCCATGCATTCATTTTTATTTCATCCCTCTTCTTTTAAGGTCCTCCCAACGTCAAACAAACCAATTAGCAGTCAACTTTCTAGATAATTGGCACACCACATCTCAACAGTGAGCCTGCGATGAGGTTGGGCATGAATGGCCACTCACTGCTTGGATAATGATCACCTCAGCCTTGTTTATGACATAGAACTTCTTCTGAGCCATGGCAGAGAGAACGGGAGGGGGACTGTGCACCTCTCACTTGCTGGGCTCTGAGATTATATTTTTAGAATGAAAGATTGGTTTCTCTCCTTGGTAACTGCCCCATTTTTCTTGAATAGGTCAGACACAAGTAGGAGTGGAAACTGACTGTGGTGTAGAGACATCTACAGGAAACCAAAATGCTTCTTTATGCTTCTTTATCTATGTCATAACTCTTGGTTTTCACTTGATTTAAATAGTGTAAAATGAACTGTCTGTATGTATGTATTTATGTATGTGGCTTAGCATATGACAAACTGAACAGAGAACTGACTACAACGGAGTGTGTCTTTGTATGTTGGTGGGAGGAAAGCTAGTTAGCTGTTAGCAGCCGGTGGGCAGCAGATTCCTGTGGTTGTGTTTAGCTAACTTAGCTAAAAGCTAACATGGCTAATACAGTTAACAGAGCTAACAGATAACGTGACTTAACACACAGCAGGACTGACTGAGGAAGCGTTGAACAGTGCACTGCGGTGGAGCGGTGCAGACAGCTGCATATATTAAAATTAGACCATATCTGTTGAGTCATTGTGTGAGTGAAAAACACGTCTGATGCACTAGCTGAACACGAGAATCTACACACTCTACTTCTATTGTAATACATTCAAATTAAATCTGTCATGCTTATTTGTACATGATCCTTATTCTAGAAAACATATTACTGAAACATCCTTAATACAAGATTTTAACATACACATAGGCCACTGTACCCTATGTACACTACTGGTATATTAATTATATCTCTACTTTTTTATGACAGACAATGAAATCAAAGATAGAAAAATAATTTAAAAATGTTTCACTCGTATCTTACTATGACAGCACAACTAAAAGATCCATATATCAACATGCCTAGATTGATGTTCAGCAAAGGAACCCTGAAGAGTTCAATATTAAATATAAGAAGACATATTGAAATAAATAACATAGATACACTGCGAAAACAAATTAAAACATGTACTAAGAAATAATTAATACATGTTTATGTTTTACACCTTTTATTAATGTGATTACACATTTCATGAATACTTTGGGGATCCATATCATCAAGTCATAGGCTGCCCAATAAGAAAACCTATGATGCTACATATAGTATGATGTATTCGGTCACACAAACACACATACACACACATGCACACACACCCTTGCCAGTGTACAGCAGTGACACAGGAAACCAAATGCGGCTCTGCTGTTCATCTCATAGATAGCATCTTATCTACAGGCTTCTTCCCCACTGCAAGGACAGCAGTGGAAATGTAATGCCCTGTTCAGTCTCTTTGTCCAGGGGATTAGGAAGAACTGTACTGTATACGCTGACGTCATGCTGAGTTATAGCTGTCATTTTAAAACTTTGGCTGACACACACACACTTTGAAAAAGTGGCAGGAGGCTTGACAGAAACAAGTATGTGCACGTTCCCAAATGTTTCATATATTAAGACACTATTAACCACTTTCCTCTATAGTCTCTTTATTTCTTTTATTTTACATTTCTTATATCTACAATTGTCAAATGTAGTTGAAAATATGCACATATTCTAACCAAGATGATATATGAAAAGTTGGACAGGAACTAGAAAACACGTGACCTTAATTAAATATTTACAGATAGTATGTATTTAATAAAAAAACACAAAAATGCTTTAAAACTGTTGTTAATGAAAAAGCTTATTTCAGTTTGTGCCCATATAGTGAACAACTGGTGGCATGTAACTACTGACAATGAATTGTATTAATGTACGTGCATGTAGTTTAAGGACATTGCCCAAGATAAAAGCAATTCATTTACATGCATTCATTTACAAACAGTCAGAGAGCGTTTATTTACAAGCAGTTGATTCTTTATAACCTGAGAAAAGGTGATGCTTCCTCTGGATTCTTGTCTTAAGTGCAGCCCACTTGTAATTACCAAAACAACATCCAAAGCATTAGCTGCAAGGCTGCAACACTAGCTTAATACTTTCACATTTTGGGGACAATGCTTGTTTGTTTTCTGTTAAATTGTATCTGTCTGGTTCACAGATTAAGTATCTTTCCAATATACTCTGTACCTGTGGGGTTTGTAATCCAAACAGATCTTTTACCAGATAACATTGCACTTACACAAATACAACTACACTTTTCTCCACAGTCCAGGGTATCTTACACCTAATTGGACAGTCGTCTTAAAAATGAACCACATTCATTATACAAATGTCAGTGCCTGCTGGAGTGTAGGAAGAAGAGAGCGTTAGGAGTTGAGCTGACAGGCTGCTAATGAGATAGCATCAAGGAAAAAGGCTCCTCAGTTCATTCAAGAGGCACAATTTCGAACATAGTAGTTGGGTGTATGATATTATGAGGCACACTGTAGAATTATGGTTTGGCTTGTGGGGTTTTTTTGGACCGTAAACCATTTCCATCACCATCATTACATGTTTTCAACAGGTTTTCATTTTGAACACGGTCGACCTTTTACCTTTTCTTTTTCTGTTTTCAAAACGTCCACAAAAACACTCCAATAATGTATCAATATTTTCACTCTTTGTCTGACATCCCTTTTGCTATTCAAATTCACTCATCACATTTGTGGTTTACAATGCAGCAGTAGGTGTGATATGTTGTTGGGAACAGAACTTACGGCCCAATCTGATATCCATTCAAGCGGGAAAAAGGTTTGTTGCTGTTAGAGAAGAATAGATCATCAGAACCAAATCTTTTTAGCACCAGCATTTACCTTTCGCTAAGAACCACGGCAGA